CCCACACATGATGACCATTAACCTATGATCTATACAATATAACTTGTGACCTATGGAGTGTGACTTGCGACATACAAACATGATCTGTGTCCAGTTTTGTTTGATCTGCGAATCCTGAAAATTTATGTATGACTAATGCACAATAACCTGTGACCAGGTACATGTGACATGTGACTTATCACCACTACTGGTACCACCAATAAATATCAACATAGCATTTGACCTGCACTCTATGAACATATAACCACCACCAACATCACTAGCACTACCACCTCAAAATCACCACAAATCACTTTAAAACCACCACAAAATGCCTTAAAAATTACCACAAAAGCACCACAAAACTGTCACGAAACCACCACACATATAACCACATAAATTGCCTCAAACAGCCACAAAAATTACCAAAAAATCACCATACAAACCACTGTAAACCACCACAAATTGTTGCAGTGGCCCTAATCGAAAATTTGGAAACGTGAGATCTTAGAAATTTATTTACACTTCCTGCTTCCAAAAGGAGTAGCGAAGAAATGGTAGAAAAAAGGAGTGTAGAGCCAAAATAGTCGAGAAAGTAGAGAGATATTAATATAGATAGGGAGAGAGGACATGTCAAAGAGAGAGAGAGAAAAACGAAATTGGGATTCAAATTGGCTTTGGGTGGGTTAGAGGGTGGTGTATAATTTAATTTTATAATATATTATTATTAGTATTAAAATATTGAATTATCACCTGATTTTTGAATAAACAAACCTTCAACCCGTTTTTTGAATTGTAATCTTTAAAAGACTACGCTAGTGTAATTTCCACTTTTGAAATTTGGACCAAAATCTGATAATTAAGGAAAATTGAAGAAGATGAATAGATTTGCCCTACTTGCTCTCTGTTAAATGTTTTGTGGTCTCAAACATGATGTTAGGAATGAAACTTTTATACTCTAAACACATAAATAAACTCAGAATGTCGAAATTAGTGGAACATATGAAAAAAATAAAATGAATGGGTAAATGCATGGTTGATTGCCAAGTGGACGCATATGACATAGTTAAATAAAAATTCAGATTTTGCATCTGGCGCGTGAAAGTTCGTGGGACCTTCTATTGCAATCCTAGAAATTGTAGTTTGGTCCCTCAAATATTCTTGATTTTTCTGTATAGTTGAATAATTTTTAGATAATTTTTTTTTCTTTTTTGCATATATAATGATTAAAATAAATTTGTAGAAAGCATAAAAAATATTTTTTAACTTGGTTAAATTTTTATTTTTTTATAAAATTGAGAATATTTTTTAATCCCCCATCTAGGCTCCACTTTTCAAAATTCATTTTTGATCATATATTATTTCATAAACAAAAGTCGTTTCTTATTTTTTAATCACACATTCTCCAAAAAATCTCTATTTCAAAACATATTTTCTCATAAAAATAAGGCTCAAATAGGGGTTAAGAGGTGTTTTCCAATTGAGAGTTAATTTTTGAGATGCTCTCAGTTTTTTTATTGAAAAAGTATTTTAGACCCTTCTGTTTGTAACAATTTTTGAAAATTGTATTTAAATAGTAAAAAAATACGATGTTAGTGTTAATTTTTTTCCTTTTGATTTTTAACAATATATTGTTCCCACGTTCCTGAGTAGTTTTGGTCTTGGCATGATTCTGTGATCAATTTCGAAACGATCCTCTTTTTTAATGCTTAGTTTGATGTGGCTAGAATTATGCATACTTTTAGAAGCTTTTGAAAGTTGTGAGATCAATGTTGAAGATAATTATCAAAAACCCAAAATCATATATCAAAACTTGGAATAGGGACCAAAGTGCGAACATTGAAAAGTTGGGGGTTGGACTGCTATTTGCAAACCATAGCCCAACCACAGTTAGAAGTGACCCATTGATTCCATGATCCGATCATGGTAAGCAACCACGGTCAGCATGAATAGAGCCCAAGCTCCTTGTTAGAAGCAGTTTTCCGACATTGAAAAGTTAGGATTTCTTATGTTTTATCCCGAATTATTTTAGGTCCTTATGGAGGCATGACTTGCGCTATGGATCTAACACTATAAAAAGATCTATTCTAGATTAAGATGAAGGGGATATAATTGAGAATCACAAGTAAAAAAAAATGGACATAATTGAGAATCACAAGTAAAAAAGAAGAAGAAAAAAAACAAAAGAAAAAAAAAAGAAAATATACAAGATAGAAAAGAAAAGAAAGAAGAAGCTAAGGTTTCAATAATGTGATGTGAAGGAGACGGGTTCTTAGTACAAAAATATCATCTTTTATTGGTATCTTCTAAACATAAAGAAGTACTTCAAATCCTTATTATATTTTTCTTTTCCTTTAATGTGCAACTCAATCATAGTTGGGACGAACAATTATAATATAGTTTTGAATCTTAATTTTATTTATGAAGCTTCGATCTTAAATTAATGTTTATGTATTATTTTTACTTCTGTTATTCTTGTTTTAAAATAATTTGGCATTATTTCATTGGTTCGTAAATGTTAATGAGCCGAGAGGTGAGATGATAATTTAGACCTCATAGTAAAAAGTAGGGATGAACACAGTTCAATTTTGACAGTTTAATATATTTTCAAACCAAACCAAACCACTTCAGTTTCTAAACCAAACCAATCCAATCCACTTTTTTCTGGTTTGGTTTGGTTTAAAATCACGATTTAACAATGAAAAAAATTAATATTATATCAAATAAGTTAGATCATAAATATTAGTCTAAAATTTCACGTTAAAATATAAATTGTATTACTAAAAAAATTTACAAATCAAAGTTATATAATTATAATCATTATAAAGTAACAACAACATATAAATATTTTAAACTCTTCGTCGATACTCACGGCGTCCATCTACAATTGTAATACATGATGTATTCATTTCATAAATATTAATATAGTACATGAATTTATTGATTATAGTTAAATAATATAAAATAATTAATAAAAGAAAATGAACAACAAAATTCAAATACAATAATATCTAACTACTGTGACTTTTTGTAGATCATCCAATACTTTTACTTCCTTTATATATTAACGAGTTACTTCAAGGAAGCCGGACAATTATTAGAACGAAACAACATAACTACCAATAAAAACATAAAAAAAAATTACCAAAAGATAAAAGAATTTGGATAATCAAAATTATTAATAGAAGAAAATGAAATGTGTAAGTTTGAATTAAAATTTAGATTTAATTGTCTGCTGAATTGTAATAATGGATCAATGAATATGGTTTAGCAGCAGTTGTTTAACACTTTACCCAATTTGAGGGTTTTATATTCACAGTTGTGATAATTGATGTGTATTTGGATGTGATTTAATTAATTAATTGAGATGTATATTTGTAGAATTGAGTTGAATTGAATTATGTTCAATATGGATGTATATTTTTAATTGAAATGTGTTAAGTTTCAATTAGGTTAAATAAACATTTAGACTAATTTATTTTCAGATTTTTTTTTTTTTTTGATAAAACGGTTTGACGGTTTGAAACAATTTGCAAAGATTGAAACCTAAACCAAACCACTTCAAATCGGTTTAATTTGGTTCAAAGCCAAAACATTGATGGATCTATGTGGAACCAAACCAACAATTTCGGTTCGATTTTGCGGTTTGACAATTTCGTTGTGCAGCCCTATTAAAAAGTGAAACTAGGGTAGAAGGTAGAGATAAATATTTACTGACTTTTCAGTCATTTTTTGTGATTGTATACTCTTAATTAAGACTTGCCCTGTTTTATGTAAACATATAATGAGTTAACTTAATTGAATAAGATTGGTTTAAATCAATTAAATTAGAAGAATGTGATATGATGCACATAATTGATTATTGTTGAAATTTGGTGATTGAAATTAAAAAGGGATAGTTATGGTGAATTCGTGAACCATAACAATTCTTGTACACCAGTTAAAATCCTAAATTGTCTATTTTCACACTTTTTAATTATTTTTGTAGAGTCATAATGTTTATGGTCTGAATTTAAATTTCTTTTAAATATTTTTACTCGAATAGAAGTTAGACATAGTTAAATCAATAATTAGATACATAATTCTAGTGCGAATGATAATTTGAACTTTTCAAATTTATTTTACTACTTGCTTAATTGACATAGTACACTTGCGATTGCTTCAGAATCATTTTGTAATTACTCTTGCAGCCCAAAAATTGTGGAATCTTAGGTGCAGCAACACGGCCACTTTTTTGCAAAACAATATTTATTCATTTTCTTCTATAGGTCTGTATGTATACTCTAATTTTACAAGCTATCGAAGAGAATTTATAAATGATGTTTGCATTGGTTCTTGTCATTTTTTCCTCGCATCAGGAACGTGGTGGACACTCATCTTGCTTCTTTCACTACTATTTACATGAGTCAAATTTTATGCTACTATTTTAATTTTTTGTCCCTTTTTTTGGGTGACATTCCCTAATTAAAATTTTAATACATTTTTCTCTTTTTTTTTCAACCACACAGCCTCCAATAAATTAATATTGCTCATAAACCAAAAACTTTTCATTCCTTTTTAACCATAAATTTTTCCAAAATTTACTATTTCAAAATACATTATTTCCAAAATTTAATTATAATAGGGGGCCAAGCAAGGGCTTAAAAGTTCTTTAGTTTCTGTCTCAAAAAAGAAAAAAATAGTAGAGTTGTAGTCTTAAGAGAAATATAAGGGATTTTTGGTTGGCATCCAACAACTGAGAGCAATGTGAAATAGCCTCTTCAGTTGAATCATGGTGAGACTACTTGTGAAATAGCTTTTTGATTCTACCTCTTCACACATTTCATCTTGTGAGATTTTGACTTAACGTAACATATTGCACGTTGAACAGAGTATCAGCATCCTCGTGAGACTACTTGTATGATACATTTAGGAAGCCATATCTCTTTCCATTGAATCATGGTGATGTAATCTATGGATGATTGATCATTTTCTCACATGAACTATTACACGACTAGAGATGAATCGATAATCCTAGAGATTTACAGGCAAAATGCTTCCTAATAACACTCACAAAATATATTTCACAAAATAAACACTACGTCACTTCTTTTTTTTTTTTTTTTTAGACATTCAATAATTTTACGATTGAGATGGATGGATGATCATAGAGAGTTACAAGCAAAATGCTTCCTGCTAGCACTCACGAAATAAACACTGCATCACTTTTTCATTTTTTCCTTTTTTGAGATGTTCGACATTTCTCCTTCACCATTGATACTAACATATTATACGATTGAGTTGGACGTTCAACACTAATATATTATACGATGGAGACACCAATCTTCTCATCTAGCTAGACCTTTTTTGTTGTCTCTCCTTCACCACTGATACTAACAATGTGGGTTTTAATAAGATAGTGTGCCACAGACTTGTAACCATTTCTCTGCGCCTGCAGATTAAATATTAAATTAATTAGTTATTAGTCAAAACAAATTAATCGTGGAAGAAATTAAGAAAAGGAGGATACATACCTTGGAATATATACAAGGAATAGGCGGCAATCCTTTCTTGTTTCTACATTTGCTGCAGTTACATATTCCTCGACACACTGGGCATATCCAACTTTTCCCATTCTCATTTGCTTCAATTATATTCTCCCCATATCTGCACCAATACGTAAATATTAATTTCTTTGTACTTGAATTCCATTGATGTGCCGAACATACCTTATGTATAGACAGTCTCCACATAACATCCCAGTCGACCCCTTGCATCTGCTGCACTGAGTGCGAAGGCCTAGAGTTTTCTGTCTGTCAATTCAGTAATAATTCATAATTTGAAATAAAATACAAAATTTAATAATTCAATATGAAGTTTTCTTAATTAGATTATATATATTGGAGTAAATGTTAAGTGAATGTAGGTACCTGCATTGATGACAAGTCCGTCCGTTGAATTTATCGTACAATCTTCGACCATTTTCATATCCATCGCGAAACAAAATCCAAGGGATTTTGTAATCCCCTAATTGCTTAGCATCATCTTCAGTGTACGTCTCAAGATTCCACTTTTGTTCCTTAAAAATAGTAGAACCATCAATCTTTTCCATCTCTTTCATTTTCTTTGTAGCTAGCATCAACAAATGAGGAACCTTTCGCACACTTTTAGACCTAAATCAGATATATAAATTCAGAATAAAAAGATAAAATTCAAAATAATGAAATTGAACTGATCGTAGTTCATAGTACTGTAACCTGGAAGTAGTAGTTCTATGAGAAATGTTGGCGAGGTTTATTCCTTTAGAATTATGTTTATTTACTAATGCTTTGCTTCCCAGCGGTTGCAGTGTTCTTCTTTTGCCAGATTCTTCTTTCATCCGGATGTACTTCCTCAAAAACCCCTTCATTTTACTTGAAGTAGATTCTCTCTAATTAAAATAACCAAGCATGGTATATTACGTATATATATGCAGTGGGAAGTGGAAGAGTCCACTCCAAGAGTGGGAAACTTCAAATATATGTAGTTAACAGGCGGGAATCAATTTCACAATTTTCATATAATGAGCAACAAAATAACCCTACAAAGGTCAAATGACTCGCATACTGAAAATAGGGTCCAACCAAAAATAAAGCTTTTCTTGGTAAAGCAAATGATTTGTTCCAACAATTTCGAACCATATTACGGTCCCATTCTACTAAAAGTCTCAAAATAAATAACTACATAAGCAATAAAAATAGAAGACCTCAAGCCTCGAACTACGGATGAATCAAAGTTTGAATTTAAGACCAGACTAAAAAATTTCAAGCCAGACTAACACGCGAAAAAAAATTTACTCATTAAAAATCTGTTCTTACAAAAAAAAAATAATAAATAAATAAAATTACCCTAAAAAAAATTTAATTGGACCAGGTAGGGGGTGGGGACTACAGCCCAGCTAGTCCCCCCCCCCCAATCCGTCCCTGCCTCGAACTAGAAGAAAGCTCGACTATTGGCAACAAATGCGATCAAAGAACACGCAATTGCACGGGAATCGAATTATGGCATACGATGGCTGATGGGAAAGGAAGATCAAGGTACATCACAGGGTCGGCCCTAAGATTTTTGAGGCCCTAGCCAAATAATTATAATGAGGCCTTTTAAAAAAATATTTTTACTAGTGTATAAGGGTAGATAAAAATTATAATGAAAATTTAAAGACTTAATTGCTATATAGGCAATAAATTATGAACCAAGGGATCAATTTTTTATTATTCATCTTTTACTCCAAAAACTTTTTTCTCTCTTTCTTCATTTGACGGTATTTCCTTTCAATTGTGCTACTCAAATAGGAAAATTTGACAGGAAATGGTGACAGACAATACTTGGCATTTATTCATTAGAAGATGAAAAATTTAAAAATAAAAATAGGTTAATCACAGTTCGCCATGTCAGCGCTGTCAATATTTTCCATCAAATTTCCATGTTCAAGTAGCTTAATTCATTTCCTTTACCTTTCTCCCCACGCTCTTTTTCTCTATTAAGTAAGTTTCACTTTCTATTTCCTTCCTTACTAGGTAAAATTCCATTTTTATTTTCATTTCCACCCTTCTTATTTAATTGATTATCTCGGTCCAATTATTTTTTCTACTATAATGAGGGAAAATGATTAAATGATATTCCATTTGGAATGGACAAATAAAGCCTAGCACAAATAAGTTGAGATATTAATTTTCCTCTTTTGGAGAAGCATCATAGGAGTTCGTCAACATGGCCATACATTATTGGCTAAAACTTTTAAGATCTGTATGAAATTGAGAATTTCTACTTTGAAAATGGTGAAGAAAATGCTTTTTCTTTTCTTTTTCATCTCCATTTTTTTTACTTTACTTCTGTTGTAAATTTTTTGGTGTTTATAAATTTATGATTGTTTTATCATTTTGCCTTTGGATCATTGATTGCTCCATCTAACTCCATGATTTTTTTTTTTACACCCCTTTAAGATTGGAGGCCCAAGGCCATTGCCTTAATGGCTTTGGTCGAGTGCTGGATCTGGTACATCATTTTATGTTTGTCTACCCGAGTATGTCCAATGTACATGTATTGATTACTTGCCCTTTGATTGCTTGGATATGCTCGGTGTACTAGTAAATGAATTTTGATCTATAAAAGTTTACATTTACCGATCAAAAAAAAAAAGAAAGATCAAGGCACTCTACCATTGAATATGCTATTTTTTTTATAGTCTAATACTTCATTTTTTGATTTTGGATATGGCGGATTTATGATCTTTGGTTAACACTTTAAGTTCCAACTATAATGCCACATGTCGTTGAAAATTTTTTGAGCGATGTTGTGCCATATTATGCCGTGATTTCGTGTTCATTTCAAGATCTAACTTCCAATTTGTTTTGCAATATTTATGTGCCATCTTAGTGCTAACTTCCAATTTCTTTTGCTGATTATAAAATGCATTTCTATGTCAGGCAAAAGTTCTAATATGGTTTAAGAAGTTGTGCTAATGTAGATGTGTACGAACATATTGGCATGTTTCTGTGTGTATCAGCACACGACAAAGGATATTGACAAGTTCAAACATTCTTCAAGACATTTTTTGCAGACAATTTGTCATTACATCAAGACTGTTCTTCATGTTATTGTTATGCTTCCTGGAAGTATCATTAAATCATATCCAAATGTGTAGCACATCACCATCCAAATGCAGAAGAATATCCTCTTTTCAACTTAACACAATTTCACGAGTTTCATTTTCCTCTATTTATTAATATATTGTCCTCTTGACAATTGGAAACTGTTTTTTGGATTCATTCATAACATAAATAGGATAGTTAGAACCATTGAAGGAACACATATTAGAAATATACACTATAATCGTATTTTGGCTACTATGATACATCGTCCAGAAATTAATTTTTTGTAGCCTGTGCATGGCAAATATTTAATGATTGACTCCATTTTGCACATCGACTAGGATATATGGCACCTAGTAAAGGTTAAGATATCATATATCATTTTCAAGAGTTCCATAATGAGACAAATCTACAAAGGTGTAAGTTTCGTAACACCGACAGAAATTCAATCATCACTTCTCCTATAGAAACGTTATTGAGAGGTCATTTGGAGTGTGAAAATAATGATGGAATATCCTTGACGGGATGCCTAGCTACTCGTTTCGAGCTCAAACAACAGTCATTTTTGTAACAATGACTATCCACAATTTTCTTAAAAGAAATGAGAATGTTGAAGAAGCATTCCATAAAGTGTAAGAGCCAGATGACGAGGAATTGGAGATAGACCTCCCCAATGAGGATGATGATATTGTAGCAGAGTTGGATTCGATGATCGATGAAGACATGTTGTGGAAACAATTACGAGATTACATGGTGCATCAACTAAGATAAGAATTCCAAAGTGGTTTACAATGCTTGTCCTAATTATAGATGCGGTAGGCGATCGCCTAAGGCCCCAATTCGGTGAGGAACCAAAAAAATTTGTTCATTATATATATATATATAGGGTTCCATATTTGAAATTGGTCTAAGGCCCTCAAAATCTGAGGACCAACCTTGTTTGTTTTGACACTCGTTGTATAGTGTGACTTCATCTTACATTATAAGCAGAATTAAGATTTTAGATGGAAAATAGATATTTCTGCTTGGTTGTTCAATGTACTGAAAAATAAGAATTGCACGCTAAAACATGCCCATCTGATTGTATATAAAAAAAACGTGACAAAATGAAACAGACCTTAAACCGTTGCATGAGGAAGCACCGTTGCTAGGTGATTATTGAAGTGGGGGTAAAATTGGAAGACTAGGTATTACCTATGAGATAGTAGGGTATAAAAATGACTTAAAATTGACATGACTACACCAAAACATGACTGCAGAGGAAATTGCATTTTGTCAAATAATTTCTGTAAAACACACACTATATAAATAAACTTCGAAAGCTCGGTTTGGAGGTTTTTTTTTCCTTTTTTTTTCACTGTTTAAATTCATGGCACTGTTTATGAAATCCACCACATCGATAGATTTTCACCATTTTTCATATTCTTTTCTAATTTTATTCTTTATAAATAATTATTTTTAATTTAACATATTTTGTTCAAAATTAACCTACAAATAAAAATACTTGAACTAAAAATATTGTAGATAAACTCAAAAATTACTTTATAAATAAAATATTATTTTATAATAAAAATCATTTTTGTATAAAAATTTATTTCTGAATGGAAAATATGACTAATAGTGTCGGGGTTGTAAAGTGGTTTGCACATTTCGGTTGGCTAAAAGTATTTTCAAGAGACTCTTTATTTTTTAATAGCATATTTTATAATTTAGAGTGTAAATATTCTTAAGTAATATTTGAAAAAATATTTATTATTTTTCCTTATATTTTATTTCCCCAGTTTTCCTCAAAATTAATATATTATTTATTCCATTGAAAATTGAAGTACTTTGAGTACATTTAATCATAGAGAGTGAGTTGGACACACTAAATTTGGAGAGATAAACTCTCTTTATTTTTTAAATGTTAATTTAAAGAGTCTCTTAGAACATAATTTTAAAGGTTAATTTTTGAAATAAATATTATCTTATATTTAAAGAGCCTATTGAAAATGCTCCAATTGCCTATTCTAAACATGGGAGGAGGTGTTAATATCTCCAAGCCATTTTGCCTTCGATAGGATCCACCTCGTCGTAGAGTTGCCATACTTCTCCACATTGGGATGGTTCATCTATGCATATGCTTCTCCCATAATTTAGTTAACGAGAGGTACTTTTTCCGCAAACAAAGATTTTTAATATGGAACTTTCATTTAATTTAAACAAATCGTACATAAAATTCATTTACATTTCCACTAGTAGTACTTTCGTAGATGCTTTGCATTCCATGGATGAGGCTACGCCTTTCCATCCATACTTATAGTTTTATAGCTCTCTTTCAAGCGAAAATGACATTTTCTTAACTTTAGAGTTATAATACCTAGCCATTTTTTGCTGGCAAAAAGCCAATTTTGCTTGAAATTTATCTCTCATTTCTTCAAGGAAATCTAGCTCAAAGAGCTACAATTCTTCTTGAAATACAATATTTTTTATTCGAAAGTTTGCTAATGGGTCTTATACTAAGCCTAAAAATTTAAAGCATAACTTCTTTGATTGAAAATTGATTGGTGAAAATACTTCAACTCTATTTCACTCATTTGACACTCCAAATTGCATCAAATTGATCATATGTAATCTTCAATAATCATTTTATGATCTGAATCAATTATTGACAAATCATATGCGATATCTATCTTTCGAGGCAATCTAAAACCTCCACTTATTCAAGCTCGCACGGATATTTTCGAGGTAGTTCGTAAGTCCTCATATTGGAGCTGTTCATATTTTTGAGACAATCTGTAAGATCTTACCTAGTTGACTACTTATATTTTAAAGTCCGACCTGCACATGAATGTACAACTCAAACGTAGGGGACTATTGTTACATCTATAAATTACGTAGCATGTATGTGATAGGGAAGTCTTACATTGACTGAAGTGATATCGACTATTTAATTTAATTGGGCCCATTAATAAAAAAAGCCTCATCTTGGGCATGGAACTCGGTTCATTAGCAATGTGCACCGATGATAGATGCTGACTAGATGTTAGATCCACCACCAAGGCTGACTATGACTTACTACAAAATATGCGGCAAAATCAAATTCTATATAAAATATAATGAGATGGGCCCAAATTATTTACTTTATGCCTCATCAATATGAGTTTATAACACTTAACATGTCGTGTGGCTCTCATTCCGAAATCATTAGACTCTTCCTACTAAAAGAATCAATTGCTATTTATAAGAAAATTACAGAAAAATATATGAGTTTATAGCTCAGTGAGTGGAAGAGTTCGAAAATAATTATACTTTCTCCTTTAAATATTTTTACCAAACATTTGGTTCATATCACTTAATATTCACATGATTGACTCATACAATTATAGCAAAAAGTAAGTCATTCTTATAACACTATAAATATCGTCTCATAATCACGATATAATCATCAGCTGAATCTATACTATCATCTTATCACATCACATGTGATCCACCAAAAATGTACCCTTTGACTAAAATTTGCAATTTGCCCCTCGGGCTAAGCCCTTTCGCCACGAGCGTTTGGCCCCATCCGTGAATGAAAGCCGGTCTCAAAGACCTTTGGTAATCAATTTTAGAACACGGCCAATGTCCCTCTATGAACTATATGTACACAGTCGAGACCAATATCCGGTCAAAACCCTCCGTATAGGATAGAACACGGTCAAGGCCTCTCTGTGAACTAGAGGAAGTACATAATCACGGGTACTTTTCTGATCAATCTCAATATCACGTCTCACATACCAAGCAAATCTTAATATCACGTGTCTCATATACCAAGTCACAAACGTACAATAAATAATCCTTGAAATTTCACATGTATCATAATAAAAGAGATTTTCATAATAATCATTTAATCGAACACATAATTGCACATATTTTGATAATATACTTAATTTATAAATAATAAAAAATATTTATATTTTTCCACTTACAGTACTATGTTCGTAAAATCAACCCGATTGGTAAGCTGTTTTGATGTGAGTATCGTCGCCTGAAATACGATATAATTTTTAAATAAATAATTAATTATTTTAAATAATTTCAATAATTAAATAGGCGAAACCCAAACTTAATCATTTCACATTTAAGCGATTTCTAAAGTCTCTTTAATCACTAAAACTAGTTTTTCTTTCATCTTACTCAATTTTATAGTTTTTTATACTTAACCCTTTCAATAAAATTGAATTTAATCTAACAATCTAACAACTATAAAATCAAACATAACTTGACAATAAATAAGTTTTTACTTACCTTTCAAAATTGAGGAATTCAAGTTTAATAATGTAGACCACTTATTTTCTAAAAACATAGGCTAACTTTCCTATTATTTTTTCTTCCTCTTCTCCTTTTTTTTCCCTTCATTTTCCTCTCTTTTCTCTTCTTCTTTTCTCTCTGCCTCATTTCTTTTCGGTGTGTAGTGTGTGTGTTTGTTTCTAATTTGATTTTGGGTGGAATTCAATCAAATTCCACCGCCTCATGTTATTTTTTATTTTTTTGTTGAAGTTTGACTTTTTTTTTTTTTACACAATTTACAGTAGCATGAGATGCGATTGAGCATCTCCCGCATTTGTTGCAGTTGGAGATCCTCCAATTGGTTGTTCCGATCGTAATGTATCGAAAGTTGCTTGTATAGGCACGAGTGGGCCCGACATCTGTTGTCCACGTTGCCATTGCAAAAATTGGGGTCACCAAAGCTCATTATCCATAATCTAATTGCAAAAATTTCATAAGTTTTCTAGCTAAAATTATTATTGTATGCCCTTTCCATTTTTTGTATACAAAAACATACGATTTTTTAACCATTTTTCAGCTATCTTCCTCTTTCTCACTCATTGGAACATTTTTGGAAATTTATTTATTAAACATTTTTACTACATGTCTAGGTAAGTTGAATTAATATATAGCATCGACTATCTTGGTTTTTTTTTATATTTCTATATATATATTTTTAATTTACTCAAACGAAAAATCAATTAAAATAATCTCCAAACCTATTTGTTTAAAATACATCTTTTAGTGCATACTTGGTAAGCTCGAAAGCTTTTCTGTAAGTATTTACATGTCATATAATTAGATGAATAGATACTTTTTCAATTAATAAAAGTTGGAAAAAAATGAATAGAACTTTTTTGCTTTTAACTTTTTTTAAAATTAATAAAATAGTTATATCCATGTGTTAATTCTAATGAAGGTTCTTAACTTTCTCTCATTTCTGAACTCATGCCCGCAACCACATATTTTAGTAATAGTTACAGACAAACAATTCTACTAAATATGCCCTTTGGCACTCAGAATAGTACTAATGAAGGCACCAATTTCCCAATATCAATAAATTTTTTTGAGAATAGCAATAATTATAAATTCAAACGGATTGAATACAAAATAATATAAAATTAAGATTGATATTGATATTGAACATAGAGTAGTGGGACAGACACCAATAACGATTGATACTTGACATTGATTAACTGAAAGGCATAATTAAGGCTTGACTCTTCATCTGGATTCGAAACATTATGAATATTAACGCCATCAATTAAATCAATTAGCATTGAATGGCATTACTGTAATTAACGCCATCAATTAAATCAATTAGCATTGAGTGGCAATACTGTAATTAACGGAAAAAGGAAGTTTACGTCAGATCACAGATGCAAGTTTCGATAATTCAATTGCAAAGTACACATTCTGCAAACTCGAGGCAGGCGGTCACTCTTCAATTGTCTCCTTGGTTTCATAATTAATACATCTATATTAAAAAAATTCCACTGCCCCAGAATGTTTTCTTGGTTTCAACAATTAATAGATCCATCAAATAGAAAATTACATGGGAAGCAGTGCACAGACTAAATTCCAGGCGCCCTTCCATTTTTTTTTTTATTCTGCCGTAATCTTCTATGCTCATCCACCGATCTTCAGTCTTCAATTCTCTTTCAATTTACAAGATCCAAAATACAAGAATTACATAATTCCTATTGAATCTAATTGAACAGAAAATTAAATCAAGATGATGGAGTCGTAATCCACCTATCTTGTTACAGACTCAAAATATCAAATTACAATCAAGGACTGGCCACAAATAATTGATTTACAATTTAAAATAATCCAATCATTCAATCATCACAAAATAAAATATTCCTAGACATCGCTCGACTAGAACATGCAATCAAGATTCAGAAATAACAAGCACGTGAACGATCTAGATTGCTCTGATACCAGTTGTTGGAATGCGGAAGCGGAATTAATCAGAAATTAAAAAATTTCTTTAATTCAAAAACAAGATCTTCTAGATGTTCACGTGCATATTATATCAAAAATGATGAATTCAAATTTTTACCTAAATTCGACGATCAATTCTTGAATTAATTCTGAATCACGAACTTCCAGCCTTTTGGATCACGAACTTCCAGCTTTTTAATTCCAAGAACTTGATGCTTCCAACCTCCAAGTCTTCTATGATATTCTCCAAAGTCAAGACTACACCGGTGGGTGGGCACCTTCTTTTAATTAAATCAAGAAAACCAATTCTTGAACTGGACAATTGAAAAATCAAGAAAAACAAAATTTTTCTCTCTATTTCTCTCTCTTTAAAAGTCGAACACCATGGAATTATGAATGTTATATAATTCTATTCCATTGGATGTCTAGGATCCATATAATCTCTATATATATAGAGACCAAAGAGTTCCAATCCTTATACATCAATAATTCCACATTCAAATAGGAGTTCTAGTCCAAATCCAATTAGTTTACATTTAATTACATGTGTAGTCCTTTAACTTTAATTACAATTATAATTAAGTTTACAACTTTCGTAGTAATTACAACTAAGTACAAAACTTTATTGTAATTGCAATTAAGCCAAAAACTATTATAATTACCGTAATTAAGTTCCAATACTTCATAGAGCTACCACAGGGACCTGATCGGACATATATTATCCAAGCTCCAATAATTAGATCATGTCTAGTCGACCCTAGACCACCCAATCTAATTATTAGTCTTTGCTTTTTCCACTAAAGGCAAAAGACTGAACTCTATGAATATATAAGATCACAGAAACCAATAAATCTGTAATACTTTCCTCTGACCTGCTGTACATGTATTTTATCCCCGTCCGAGATCCGATAATTAGGTACGAGCATAAATGACCGTTTTGCCCCTCTAATTATTTTCACTAACTTAAGTTTCATTTTCTTCAACGGTCCTGTGAACCAATCACAGATGTCGAAGTTTAGCCGTCGCTAAACACTGAGCTTAGATTTTAACCGTTCAACAGAAAATACTTAAGTAGTCACTCTACCCATATTTTAGGGTGACGGTTCCCGACATGAATTCATGTTCTCTACTCCGCTCATTTTCAAGTTCCCAACTCATCGAGATATTTGACCAATCAAATTGATCTCACCCATTGATGAATCAAAGAACAATTAAAATCACGAAAAGATATACATAATCCTGTCAAGGGATTTAGATAAAATACACAGAGATCTAGTGGAATTTAATTCTCCACACGGTCATGCTATAGAATTAAATTCGACACGCGGTCCGTTCAATACACTCCAAGTGTACTAGTGTCACCTTTAACTATTTCTATGATAAGGACAAATCACAAACCCAAATAGTGACTTGGTCAACACTACAACCTTCCAGTACAAGGTGCCAACCCTTATACATTCGTTGTGAACAAATTATTTATGATCAAAATATAAGTTGTGTCATACTGTACTTCTCAGCGCAAATACCCAACTTATATTATCTCAAGTGATCATAGGCACTTTAATTTGCATACTCAATAATAAATAATGCAACAAATAAATAAAACCACAATTTATTTATAATAAATGATTATTTTATCATAACAAAATATACTATATGGGCACACAACCCAACAATGGTCATCAACTCTCCAATGTTGTTAGACTTACTGATTCTATTGGTGCCCTTTGGTGTGTGAGACTGGAAAAGGTGGAGGAGTCTCTTTGGTTTAATGACGGCTGGGAGAAGTTTGTTGATGACCATTCTGTCCGTTATGGCTACTTTTTACTCTTCAAATACTTTTTACTTTCTGGAAATTCAAATTTTAATGTTAATGTATTTGACTTGACAGCCACTGAGGTTTACTATCCGCCAAAATGGTAAGCGTAAGATTGAAAAAACAAACACAGAAGAATTCTATCTCTGACGACTCTGTAAAAAGTTTAGATCCCTTCACTGGTAAACCATTGATTCCCCCTATAATGGAAGAGCACAGTGATGATGACTCTGTTAAAATACTATCTTCCATCGGTGGCAAACCAGTGGCCTGCCCCTCTAGAAATGAATTCATGGGTAATGCAACTTGTGATCATCAGACCATGTATGAGTTGTCTTTTTCTTCAACTGAATTTGCCCATAGAGTCAAAGGAGATAAGGTAAATTCAGCCGAGACATCGAAATATCGGCATCGTTATCTAACATGAAGAAAAGTCATGGCAAGTCAAATACATCTCAACCCACTAAACAAGTCTTGGATAAATCACTTCACCTCAACAAAAGCAAACCTAAGAATCCCATAACTAAGAATGTTGGAGAGGCAATCCCATGTACTGAAGCCAATCAGAAAGCTAAGTCAAGTAAGTTCTTTACAGATATCTATTTTGATCGGTAAGATTGTTTCTAGAAATGATTTCCTCTTATGCAAATTGTTGAAGTATGAAAATGAAAAGAAATAATCATTTGGAATTTAAAAGTTGTGTTACATGCAGCAGGAAAATTTTTGCCCAAGAATCCTACGTTTACTGTCGTGTTGAAACCATACAATCTGTCAGGAAAGATATTGGTAAGATAGAGTTTTATGTTACCGAGTTATGTTTCTTTCTCGTCTTTCTCCAAATTTGAGTTTACTGCAATTTTTCCGGTTTCTGAAGTGCATGCCACCCGCATTTCTTGCGCATCTTTCAAGTTCTCTAAAGAGCCTTGAACTTCATGATTGTGATGGTAAGAAGTGGCTGCTTAGCGTCGTCCATCTAAGAGAAGGTAAGGTTTTGGTTTTGAACCAAGGATTGGTGACATTTATTAAGGAAAAAAAACCTCAAGGCTGGAGATACTTGTGTCTTTGAGCTCATCGACGTCGATAAACCTGCGATTAAGGTTTCCACATTTTGCAATACGAGCAGAGTCCCGAACTGACTTCAGCTGATTTGATTTAAGCAGTTCTCAAATTAGTACGTTTATTTGAATTTTGCTAGGCACAGATTTGCAACTTTTTGCTTAGGTAATTCCTAAAGTGGAGCTTGGTTAAATTTCTTGTTGCTCAAACTTTTGAAAGGGATTGGTGTAAAATTTCCCATCGGTTGGGGCATCAATTTAGCCAATCAACCTTAATTTTTTCTAAATTAACCATCCAACTTTATAGCATTTGTTTCATGTTTCCCTGAACTTTAAGGTTTATTGCGAGTGCTTTTGTCATTTTTAAGAATCGGATTTCTGGCAATGAAATCAAATTTATAATTTTTCTTGTTTGAAATATTTTATTTTATTATTAATGTTGTAAGGTCTGAATTTTGGGTAAAAGAAACTAAAATTAGAGTCCGGATGATTTGCAGGTTCAATTTTTGACCCAATTATGTCACGTGACAAAGGTAGTCAACGCAAATAGATATTATTAAAAGTATTTATTCTTCTTCTATTTAATAAATGTTGAGGCTGGAATGCCCAACATTATGTGAGTTTGTCGTCTAGATCCCCCAAAACAAATAACTATTTTCATATTTATTTTCTTTCTCGTTTTAGAAAATAATTTGTTTTTTTTTTTTTAAAAAGAAAAGGACAAGACCAAATCATCTTTCACTTCTTCCCATTTTTGTTTTGAAATTTTTTAATTTAAGTATCTGATTTTTCATGCTGAATTTAGTATTCTAATTGGTGATAAGATTTATAGGATTTCGTATGTTATTTTGTGTAAACGTCTGATTAATTTTCATTTTTTTAAAAATAAAAAATCACATTTGAACTTGATGATCAACGTACATATTTCATTTAGCAATCTCTCTTGAGTAATATGAAATATATCCTCACATGTCAGTAAATCAATCTCAATGTTTGTATACTCAGTCCTTGCGTACAAATGATGATTATTTCATGGCAAGTATGACGATGACAACACAACACATTCATAAGCTTTGAAAATGGGATTTAATCGTAACTTCTAACATAAAATGATGTAGAATATATCGACTTAAATAAATAACTAAAATTAGGGATGAACACGATTCGATTTGGACGGTTTATGAGATATTTTCAAATCAAACCTCTTAAATTATTTTGAAATTTTTTTAAACCAAATCAATCCAATCCAATTCACTTTTTTCGATTTTGTTCGGTTTAAAACCACGGTTTAATGAGATAAAGTAACATATAGGGCTGTAAATAGATCGGATATGGAGCGGATTTGGCCAGATCCAATCCGATTCGATCCGTTAATAAATATTATCCTATCCGTTCTGATCCGATAATCCAATGGATATTTGATTGTTAAATCCATATTCAATTTGCTATGTTATCGAATATCCGATCCGAATTTGAAAAAAAAAATCCACTATTTTTTCGGGTAATATGATTTTTTTCCAAAAAATATTTTAACTATCTTGATGGGCTCACCTATTTTATACTAAAAGGCCCAAATCAATTTTTTATCCAAGTGTTGCTCATTTAGCTCATTTTTTAAATGAGACTTTTCTTGGAATGTTTTAGTAATCTTCCAATGTGGGATACTAACTTTTTAAAGGATACTCAATTTTAAACATTTTAGTAATATTTCAATGTGGGATACTAGCCAATTGTCAATTCTAAGTGTTACTAGTTTATTTTGTTATTTTCATTAAAAATCATAGCCTCAACAAGATTATAATCACAAATAATATCAATTTAAACAATGTAAATTATTTTTGGACATATTAATTATTAGTTTTTGATGTTATAAAACAAATTACTATAGTTATTTTTATTTTATTTTAATTAAAAAAAAATTTAAATCTCTTCGAATATTTCAATTAACAATATTATACTATTATCTAATATTATTTATTATTTGAAAATTATATGTAAAGCATAATATAATTTTCAAAATGAAAAAAATTATGTTTACTAGATTATGATATAATATATAAAATATATTATATTATTATAATAAATCGGATCGGATTGACCTATATCCATATTTGCTCCATTTAGTTAACAGATTATCGGATTCGAATCTTAATCGGATTATCGTACTGAAACCCTAAATTCATCTCTCATTAATTTCATTGGATTTTGATTAAAATTCAATCCATTGATAGCTTTAGTAACATATATCGAATAACTTAAATCATAAATTTTAGTCTAAATTTTTTTATATTATAACATAAATATTATCATTAAAAATATTACAAACCAAAGTTCTATAATAGAAACATTTTAACCATGCATTCATTAATTAGATATAAAATAACTAATAAATAAAAATGAATATAAATATCAAATACAATAATACATTGAATAACTTTTTATGAATCATCCAATACTTCTACTTTATCTAAATATGATGAATCATTATATGTTCTTTGTTACTATGCAATTTTTATGACAAATCATTGCATCAACCATATTTACACTCAGTGGCCTCTTAAAGGAATTAAGAATTTGACCACTAGTAAGGAATGCGACTCATAAATAATTGTGAATATTTAATAGTTAACACATCTTTAACAATTTTGGGGATAATCTTGTATTTAATTTTCACCAAAATAATATGTCAAAAGGCCCATTGACCTAAACTTCAAAACAACAATTTAAGTAATCCATCAAATGATTCTAACAATTGACGATAAAATCTAGAAAGTCAGTTAAAATGTAAATAATTAATTGTGTGACCTCACCAAGAAATTAAGCAAATAAACAAAATACTATCCACTAAAACTTTAAGGGAGCCTTTTACAAATTTGACAAGCGACATAACTACTAACAAAGTATAGCAAATAATTCCTAAAAAAATAAGAAAATTTGAATAAGCTGACCTGAAAATTTAGTCAAAATATAAGAAAATTATTAGTAGAAGAGAAAGAAATGTGTGAGTTTGAACTAAAATCTAGATTTAATTATTTACTCAATTGTAATGGACGATTGATAATGGCTAAACGACAGTTGTTAACATTTCATCCAATTTAAGGGTTTTGCATTCAAAATTATGATTACTGATGGATATTTAAGTATGATTTAATTAATTAATTGATGGGTATTTATTAATTAATTGTCAATTTTACGATTTTACAATTTCTTTGTTTAGCCCTAACTAAGATGTCCTCATAAAATCGAATTTTGAAATCAAAAAGGAAATTCGAATTTAAAAAAAAAAAAAAATCTCAGATAGAAAGTGTTGCGTGTTGTCACACCTGTCCTACCCACCTGGGCCAGTGGCCCATTCATCCTGATCCACGTGCATTCCTGTCGAGGTGGCCCACATTGCCGAGGTGGGTTATATCCGAACTGCTTCTAACCGAGGCCCATAGCCCGAGGCGTGGAAGCCTTTGGTTGTAGCTGAGGTCCTCAAATGGACGAAGCTCCGAAGTTGATGCGCGAGCCTCAACCACAAGGAAACATCCTCCATGGTCACTTCTCCCAAGAGATCGCCTGCACAGATCTTATTCGAATGATTGATGGAATGTCTGTCATAAGCATAAAGGTCAAGTCTTGTCACTAGCATGGAGGCCCTGCACAAGCAATAAATGCGCCGTAAGCTAGCAAGTCAAATCCCATGCCTAAGAACAGACGTTTAAACTAAGGAGATGAGGCCACGTGCCACTTCATCCAAGGGCCCCCATTCCATATGTATCACTATAAATACCCTCATTGTATAATGTCAAAGGGCTAATGCAAGAATCAATACTAAAAGACTACATTTACTCAACTCTCTCAGTTACTTGCAATACATAAATCGAATTTATACACTTTCACATATATATTTGCGAGCACCGGTTGGTAATTATTGTACAATCGAATTACGAACAACCCGCCGGATTCCGAACGTCACCGTCCCGCGTCGTTGGGCTACTCCCACGCCCCTTCGGATCGTTCGTTTTAGACCGTCCACGTGTCTTAGTGTGTTGGACATTCGCCCACGCAAGCGCGGGTGGGACCGGCATCTGTTGGCGCACTTTTTGGGGTCAACAGATTGGCGCCGTCTGTGGGAAACCATACTATAACCACGAGCAACCTTGTGGTAAAAGCTTACTGAAAAACATTTGGGTAACCCCCCTTGAAAAAGGATTTGCTCTTGAAAAAGAACAGGAGGAACCCCTATCACTTAGGGAAATCTAAGTTTGATAAAAGGAAAATGAGTTCTAACGAAGATACTCCCCCAAGGAGGCTAAGAGAAAGTACGAATGTGCCTCCCCAGCCTGCTGCCCCAGCAGCTCGGCCGAGGCTCCACCACCACCAAAGGAGAGGTGGGATGCGTGCGACAGCACGACTATCAAGAGAAATGGCTACCATGGCAGCCAACATGATGGATATAGCCAACCAAAACTTAGCCATGAGGGAGCTCATGGCCCAGATGCAAGGCCAAGGAGGTTTCCCCATTCCTCCATATGCCCCCCATGGGCACTATCAGCAAGAGGACGAGGTGCAAAGTCATAGGGCTGCCTCGCCAGACCATGGCCGAGGTGAAAGTCCATTCGAGAGGGAAGTGGGAGTTGACATTTCTTCCAATTATGCATCTGGCCGGCCCTCCGAGGTCCAAATGAGCCATGATAACTTCCCACCTCCATATGAGCAAGATCCAAGACAGGGGAGAGCAGGAAGTGTTTTTGACAGAATCAGCCCTACCGAAGCAAGACCCAGTCAACAGCAGGCTCAGCAGCCTCGGACGAGGCCACAGCCTCCACCTCTGATGCCCCAGCAGCCGGAGAGAAGGCAGGAAAATGCCCCCCGCGCTGTCCCGCCTAGAAGTAGGCCACAAAGGAGGGAGGAAGAGGCTAGGAACCAGCCCGGACCCTCTCACCAACAACCGAGGTACGAGGTCGAAGAATACGATTCTGATGAGCAACAGAGGTCTTGTGACTTGGACGATGATGATGAGAACCTGCCATTCTCAAGAGAACTGAGAAATGCCCAGGTCCCGAGCCACTATGTCATGCCAAAAATACCAGAGTATGATGGGAGAGGTGACCCAGAAAAGCACTCAACGCTTACAAAACTCACATGAGCCTGAGGGGAGCCACCCCAGCTGTGAAGTGTAAAGCATTCCATTTAACCCTCAGTGGAGCTGCTGAAATCTGGTATAGTAGGCTACCATCTGGGAGCATCCAAAGCTGGCCCGAGTTCAAAACTACCTTCTTGAAGAGGTTCGCAGTGAGCAGGGAAGGGGAGGCCCCCATTCAGCGTCTTCAAGACATGAGACAGGCGCATGGCGAGTCCTTGAAAAACTTCATATCCCGCTTCACCGACGAAATGACCTACTGTGTACAAGTCACCGACAGAGAGGCACTATCTGCGTTGAGAGGAGGATTGAACATGAACACCCTATTCTGGAGGGATGTGCAGAATCAAGACCCAACCACATATGATGCCCTACTAGAGATGATGAGAAGGGAGATAATCAATGAAGAATTGATTGAGCATAGGAACAGGGCGAGCAGGGGCCTCCCACCTCCTCAAAGACAGCGAGGTAGGGGACCGACCTCTCACCTCATGGACTACCAGATGAACCGATCTGGAAATCAGAACTCTGGCCAAGCTCTGGCCACTACAACTCTGAACGCGGTGCCAACCTTGGCTTATGAGGATGTCAACCCAATCGCGGACCCACACCAGATACAGGCCCAGCAGGGACCCTGTAGGAGAAGAGGTCGAGGCCGAGGTTTTGCACCTAAAAATAGGTCCAATACGAACCTCCCTAAATACTGTTCGTACCATAGGTCCTATGAGCACGACACCGCGGATTGCAGAGATTATGCGCACCGCTCCCGGCAGGAGCCCGCCAGGGAAAGACATAACTCGCCCCCAGGCAAACAGGCCCCCTTCCAGGCAAGACAACCAACATGGGCGTGAGGCGGCCGCTCCTCGTCAAAGGGATGTCTCCCCAAGGCGATGAGAGCAAGACATAGAGAGGCCCAGGGAAGGGCGTAGACACCGAAGAAATAGGCAAACTCAGGATGAGGCCCCTATCCACGAGATAGACACCATATTTGGAGGCCCTTATGTTGGCGACGAAACACGGAACGCCAAAAGAAATTATGCTAGGGAGGCTAAGAACCCCCCTCTGACAAGCCACATTGTGGATAGTAGCTCTCGAAGAAACCAAGTACCACCCATTGTATTCACCCAGGAAGACGCCGAAGGAGTTCATTACCCCCACTGCGATGCGCTGGTGGTGAGAGCTGTCATAGCCCGAAATGGGCTCAAACGAATGCTAGTCGACAACGGCAGCTCCGTCAACATCTTATTCGGGTCCGCCTTTGACAAGATGATATTGGACCACCAGTTGACGCCCACCACCACTCCATTGTACGGATTTACCGGAGATAGCATCACTCCGAGGGGAAAGATAACACTGGCAGTAGAGATGGGAGAATCTCCTCAAACTACGATGAACTTTATGGAGTTCCTCGTAGTCGACAGCCGGTCGGCTTATCACGGAGTCTTGGGTAGATCGGCCCTAAAGGAATTGGGAGCAGTTACCTCCATCCACCACCTATGCATGAAATTCCCAACAGAAAATGGGGTGGCAATTGTGAGGGGCGACCAGAGAGGTTCGCGAGAGTGCTATCTGAGCTCCATTAAGAAGGTAGAGCCCCGGGACGTCCACATGATCATGGCTGATGTGGTCATGGCGGATGTCCCAGGTGACGCTCCCGCCGGCCAGGAAAATGTTGATATGATTGATGCACCGCCTATTCAGGAGGTGTTAATCGTTGATGAACTCGACCCCCGCATAATGGAACATGAGCCTCAAGCGTCCCCTGTAGAGGAACTTGAGAGCTTCTCAGCCGACCCCCGAGATTCGTCAAAGATGTTGAAGATAGGCAGGGGCTTATCCAACATTTTGAGAGAAAAGATCAAGGACTTCCTAGGCAAGAACCTCGACGTCTTCGCCTGGAGACATGAGGACATGGTAGGCATAGACCCCAAGGTCAGCTGCCACCACTTGAAAATCGATCCTAATTTCGCCCCGCATAGACAAAAAAGGAGAGCCCTCAATCCAGAGAGGTATGAGGCCCTAAAGGAAGAAGTTCAGAAGCTCATCCAAAATGGCTTCATCAGGGAGGCCACTTATCCGAAATGGGTCTCCAACCCGATCTTGGTTAAGAAACACAATGGCAAATGGAGAGTATGCATCGACTTTACCAACCTTAATAGAGCTTGCCCGAAAGATAGCTTTCCGCTTCCAAGAATTGACCAATTGGTGGACTCCACGGCTGGGCACGAGTTGTTGAGCTTCATGGATGCATACTCCGGCTACAACCAGATCCCCATGCACCCGGCCGATGAGGAGCACACCTCTTTCATCACGGACCGAGGCCTCTATTGCTATAGAATGATGCCTTTCGGGTTGAAGAATACCGGGGCAACTTACCAAAGACTCGTGAACAAAGTGTTTACCGACCTCATTGGTAAGACAATGGAGGTCTACGTGGATGACATGCTGGTAAAAAGCCTAGAAGCAGAGAACCACATAGTACACCTCAACGACACCTTCCAAATATTGAGAAGGTACAGGATGAGGCTCAACCCCTTGAAATGTGCCTTTGGGGTGGCTTCCAGCAAGTTCTTGGGGTACATGGTCAACCAGCGAGGAATTGAAGCAAATCCCGAGCAGATTGAGGCTCTGTGCCAGATGTGGTCCCCTCAAAAGCCAAAGGAGGTGCAAAGCTAAACCGGACGAGTGGCAGCACTTAGTCGCTTCGTCTCCAAAGCAACTGACAAGTGCCTCCCATTTTTCAAAGTGCTCAAGGCTGGGAAGAAATTCCAATGGATTGAAGAATGTGAAGAGGCCTTCCGAGGATTGAAAAGGCACTTGGGGCAGGCCCCCCTCCTCTCCAAGCCGAAGCCCGGTGACATCTTGCAACTATATCTCGCAGTCTCCAATGACGCCATCAGTTCGGTTTTGATTCGAGAAGAAGGGTCCACCCAACTTCCCGTCTACTATACGAGTAAAGCGCTCCTATCGCCGGAGACCCGATACCCCGATATGGAGAAGCTTGCTTTGGCCTTAATCACGGCCTCTAGGAAATTGAGACCTTACTTCCAAGCTCATACAATCCATGTACTTACAAATTTTCCCCTGAGGCAAGTACTCCAGAAGCCCGATGCCTCGGGAAGATTGTTGAAATGGGCAGTGGAACTAAGTGAATTTGACCTCGTGTTCAAAGCAAGGGCGGCCATCAAAGGGCAAGCGTTAGCAGACTTTGTCGCTGAATTCGCCAACCTACCCGAGGTGGATGAAATCATGGAGCCCTTCGAACTCCCCACGTGGAGTCTCTTCATAGATGGCTCAGCTGGGGATGTCGGCTCAGGTGCCGGGGTTGTCCTCATCAGCCCCGAGGGTCACAAACTCACCTCAGCCGTGAGGTTCGGGTTCAAAGCTACCAACAATGTTGCAGAGTATGAAGCACTCCTTGCAGGCCTCAGACTGGCCAAGGAAATGCAAGTAAAGAAGCTACTCGTCAATAGTGACTCCCAGCTGGTTGTTAGCCAAGTCAATGGTAATTTCTCAGCCAAAGACAGAACAATGGCCTCCTATCTGAAAATGGTGATGAGCCTCATCCCATCCTTTAAAAAGTTCGAGTTAATCCAGATTCCCCGCATCGAAAATGCTCATGCGGACGCACTCTCGAAGCTGGCTAGTAGCAAGGACTCAGAGCTACTCGCTGTAGTGCCTATCGAGCATCTCCTACTGCCTTCAACCGAGGCCCCTAATGTCATGTGGGTCGGTGGAATTCCCACATGGATGCAACCAATTATAGCATATCTGAAAGACCAGGTGCTACCCACCGACAAAAATGAGGCTTACAAGCTGAGAAGGAGGTCAGCCCATTTCCTCTTCATCGATGACATTCTTTACAAGAGAAGTTTCTCCTCTCCACTCTTACGATGTGTCGGAGGAGAAGAGGCTACATACATACTAAGAGAAGTCCACGAGGGAGTGTGCGGCAACCACTCTGGAGGCCTATCTCTGGCACAAAAAATACTGAGGCAAGGATATTACTGGCCTACCCTGAAACGGGATGCACTCGAATTTGTGCGAAAATGTGACAAGTGCCAACAATTCTCTCCCGTTCAAAGACGACCATCACAGGATCTGACTGCGGTCTCCAGCCCCTGGCCTTTCTCAAAGTGGGGTGTGGACCTCATAGGCCCTCTACCAAAGGGTAGAGGAGGCGCAAGTTTTGCAATAGTGGCCATTGATTACTTCACGAAGTGGGTCGAAGCTGAACCACTAGCAAAAATTACAGAAGCAAACACCTCCAAGTTCCTATGGAAGAATATCATTTGTCGGTTCGGAATTCCCCACTCGATCGTCTCAGACAATGGCAGGCAATTCGATAACAAGAAGGTTAGAGAACTGTGTGAAAATCTTGGCATAAAGAAGCACTTCTCTACACCTCACCACCCACAAGCCAATAGCCAGGTTGAAGCCGTAAACAAGACAATCAAGCACGTCCTGAAAAGGAGACTTGATGTGTCCAAGGGAGCTTGGGTTGATGAGCTGCCCCAAGCACTTTGGGCAATCCGAACCACCACTAGGACCCCAACCGGGGAGACCCCTTTCCTCATGGCTTTTGGGACTGAGGCGATGAGCCCCGTGGAGGTCGGACTCCCATCTCCACGGCGTCTGCACTTTAGTGAAGTGACCAACGATGAGCTCCGAAGGCTAGACCTCGATTTCATTGAGGAGAGAAGGGACGACTCCCAGCTGAGGCTAGGCACCTACCAAAGGAAGATGACAAGGTACTTCAACTCCAAAGTCAAGAAGAGGTCTTTCCGAATCAACGATCTCGTGCTCAGGAGGGTCTTTCCATCTTCAAAAGAACCCGATTTTGGCTCCCTGGGACCGAACTGGGAAGGTCCATACAAGATCAGAAAAGAAATCCGACCTGGAACCTACTGAATTGAAGACATGGACGGCAAGGCACAACCCCGTCCATAGAACATTGAACACCTCAGAATCTTTTATCAGTGAATTGTATCATGCTGGATTACTTTCCCAGCCTTTGTAATATTTCTATGGCTCAATAAAATGCGTTGATTAAATCGTTATACTACATTGTCACCTTGGAAGAGAGGCTCGGGACCCACTACTGGGCCACCTCGCTTGAACTCCGAGGCTCTAGCACATGCCTCCCTTTTGGCCTTGCTGAGCGCCAAGGGGAGAAGCCTCAACATGGCTGCACCATCCACCATGTCTGGGATGCGTCGTAACCTCGGAGGAGAGGCTCGGGACCCACCACTGGGCCACCTCGCTTGAACTCCGAGGCTCTAGCACATGCCTCCCTTTTGGCCTTGCTGAGCGCCGAGGGGAGAAGCCTCAACATGGCTGCACCATCCACCATGTCCGGGATGCGTCGTAACCTCGGAGGAGAGGTCGGGACCCACCACTGGGCCACCTCGCTTGAACTCCGAGGCTCTAGCACATGCCTCCCTTTTGGCCTTGCTGAACGCCGAGGGGAGAAGCCTCAACATGGCTGCACCATCCACCATGTCTGGGATGCGTCGTAACCTCGGAGGAGAGGCTCGGGACCCACCACTGGGCCACCTCGCTTGAACTCCGAGGCTCTAGCACATGCCTCCCTTTTAGCCTTGCTGAGCGCCGAGAGGAGAAGCCTCAACATGGCTGCACCATCCACCATGTCTGGGATGCGTCGTAACCTCGGAGGAGAGGCTCGTGACCCACCACTGGGCCACCTCGCTTGAACTCCGAGGCTCCAGCACATGCCTCCCTTTTGCCTGGCTGAACGCCGGGGGGAGAAGCCACAACAGTTCATCTCCTTAAGTTATGTTCATTTGCTTAAGTCCGAGGCTCCAACAGTTCATCTCCTTAAGTTATGTTCATTTCCTTAAGTTACGTTCATTTGTTTAAATCCGAGGCTCCAA